GCGCTTGTTTATTGAATAATTTGTTGAGAATAATTTTTTTTGGTTAACTAGAGTTAATTTTAAAAAGGGTGGTATGATTAGTAGTTAGTAGTTTTTAAGAATATATTAAAATAATATTTAAAATAAAATAATTAAAATTGATTTGTTGTAAAAATAAATGATTAGAAATGATTGTGAATTATAATAGTTAAAATTATGTGAGTCCATGAATAATAAATTAAAATTGATGTGATGAGTAAGAATGATTGGTTTGTATTATTTATATAATATTGAGGATAGTATAGTTGTGTTAAAATTGAGTTAGATTTTGAGTATGAATTGAATGTGAGTAAATTAAATAATAAACAAGCATGCCGTAAATTATTAATTTTGGAAAAGTAATAAATGTACAATACATCTAAAATATATTTTTTTTTTCCTTTCTAGCAATTCTAATAGATACATGATGGAATTAATTTGTGAATACATGATGATTAATTTAATATATTATATATAAAAAGCTAATAACAAAATATAAAATATATTCATTTTTATAATATATCTTAAATTAAAGTTAGTTAAGTATTGTATAGTTTTGAAAGTACTAATACACATGGATTATCGAAATGGACTATTTCGGAGTACCATAATTGACATTTAACAAATTATGAAGCACCACAAATTTTCAAATAGGCTTGAAAAACTTTGAATCAATATATATAGGAATTGATATGTTTTCCATCAATTTTATATTTTTATTACGTCACTTTTCTATATAGCGATAGGTAAATTCCATTTGGCACACTAGTGGTCAGCAACTATTTGTCAAACTTACAATTAAAATGCTTTATCATCTTGGATAAAATTATTACCCTAATATGCTAATCTAGAATTAATTTAACTTTTTACTTGGAAAGGAAGAAGTTAAGAATGGGCTTAGTAAAACAAGAGAGTATCATTTCATTTTCGCCTGTATTTGAAAATAACAATTTTGCTATTTTTTTCTTTTATTTCTTTGAAATGATTTTTTGTTGGTTGATAAATTAAAAAAAAAATTGTAATATGGTCAAAATTGCATTTATTAATGTGAAATACTTTATCGATAATATAAAACCGCTAAATTGCGTAAATGTGTGCAAATTTATGTACATTTTGCACGCTGGTAGAGTTTGGAGGTTTAAACTAAATATCATATATATATATATATATATGGTGAGCATGGTGTAATGACATTTTTTTTTTCATTTATAAAAATTGTTGTTAGATTTTCTAGTCGTTTGCAAAAATTACTACCAATTGATAGTAATTTTTTTCATTTTAAAAAAAAATAAAAATCACTGACTTAAAAATTTCCCTTTGCGTCCATTTAAAAAAAAATCACTGACTTAAAAATTTCCCTTTGCGTCCATGTCTAGATGACAACATTTTTGTATACAAAGATGATTAAATCTAAATTGTATATAACCTTTATGGAAATCGTTGAAACATGCCTAACGATATTGCAATTTTCACTATAAGCTCTTCTCTTTATCTTAATTCTTTGATGTTTTCATAGTTTGTTAATTTTCTAAGAATTTCTCTTAATTTGGTATCAATTTCAGTTTTCAATTGTAACTTTAAAGTTGGTTAAAAATTATATATTAGACAGGTCAAG